TTACAATAAAATATTATATACAGGCCATATTCATTTATTTATCATGCATAACACACAATATAGTTTCTAAAAATTAAACATACGCAGTAAGTACACATAAAGTAAATACAATGTTATCCACACAAACAAAACAGAGCTTTATATTATTTTTTAATTACCGAAGTCTTTCAAACTTACTATCTGTGCAGAACATATTTAAAAAAAATTTAGCGACTCTTTTAGTTTGAGGTAGTTTTACTTTTTTTCCTTTATTGTGAATTTTTATTGTTAATTTAGTTAAAACATTTTTGGGTGAAGTTTTTGTCTTCCTTTTATTTTCATTATGTTTTACTAAAACAAACTTGCATCTTGGTATTTTCTAAAAACTGGTTTCTTCTTACATTGTTGTTGTTTTATTTTACATTCTGGCCAATGTTGTTCAATAACATAGTCATTTTATGACCCTGTCTCTCTTCCTATAATAGAAATAATTTAAAAATGTTAAAATACAGAAAAAAAATATTTCTTTAATTGTTTAATTTTACCACTTGCCACCACTTGTTCAGTTAGAATGGTTAAAACATATCTAACTTGTCTTCCAATAAATATAATAAAATGTATGTACAATACAGTAATTACAATACAATATTATATAAAGCCATTTGATTAATCCCAAAATAAGAGTGAAGAGCAAAACAAAAACAAAGCAAAATAATAAAATAATAATAACAAATCTCTAAAATACCCTTTTATTTGTTTCTTTGATTATAGTACATCAGTAAATGGCTCATAAATGAGTGTTTAATTTAAAAAACTTAACCTAAACTAATGTTTGTAACAACATATTTTACAAAAAACAACTTGCATCACATTTCAAGAAGAGAAAAAAAATGCAGCTTACATTCTGGAAAATACAATTATACATTATTATTTTTAACCTGTATGAGGTTTTAGTCTTCAGGAAGATGAAAGAAGACAATATGAAGAATGTTTTACTTTTTAAGAGGCAAATGAGAATTGGCTCCCACTGAATTTTATTGTAATTATGTGCCACAGAAAAAATAAAGCATGAACTGCACCTCTCGTTTATATTATACAGAAGCACTCACTGTCTTGAATCTCTTCAGAGTCAGATAAAGTTTAGCATGTTGCACGGCATATCACACAATATAGTTTCTAAAAGTTAAACTCACATACAGTACAGTATATACAATATTATCCACAAAAATAAACAGAGCTTTAATTATTTTCTAATTACCAAAGTCTTTCAAAGTTGATATTTGTGCAGAACTCAAACTGCAGAATAAATAAATGAACAGAAACGTAGCTCCACGTAAACACTGCAAATTAGATCAGTTTGTCTCACTCAATTTGACACTTTTCTCCAAACTGAGGGCAATGCGTTTAACACAATTTAAACAGAAACTTATATACCCCAAATAGTATAATTATTTTCTGTAATTAAGTATTGCATTTCTATTGCAGGTATCACCAGCAAATTCATCAATACTTAATGTTCTCCACTAATGATATATTTAGCCACAAAACACTGCTATAATATACTATTGGAAAAACAATTTTTGATTTTGTATATTTCATATTCATCAAGCTTCTCCTCTACATAATACAATATTGTGTTGAACGTGTGTCTCAATATCTCTGCAGGATACTGCTAGAAATTGCAGAACACAGTCAAATTCCTGGGAGAGAAAAACAATAGGATCCCTATATGAAAAACGTAGTAGAAAGAACACAATGTAACACAAAATGCCTAATAGTGGACTGCACTGAACTCCCAGTCCAGTATTTGTCAAGCACAGATCGTGATTCATATGGTTAATTAGAGCAGCTCTTGTTTTTTGTGACTCTCTGTACTTCCTCCCTGTGGTTTTCTTTCCAGTCTATTCATTTCTCCTCAGTATACACCTTTCCTTATTATACTCGCTCTTTCTCCAGGGTCCTCGTTGTTGGTTGTTTTTGCAGTTGACACTTTTTCTATTCATGGCAAGTACAATTTAGTAAGTTGGGTTTCCTGTGTGGTGTGCGTTACTGTTAACAGCAATGATTTACTTTGTCAGCATGCCATAGACTACAGTCAAGGGAAATATATTTAACATAAATGATATTTTTTTAAATGCACATGTATATATGTACATTTATATGTTTGAACTTTCATTTTAGTTGTCTTTTATTAATTTTGTTTTAACTTTCAAAATGAATCCTCATTGCTCTTAACAAGTTTACAATGATACTAAAGCTTTTTTTAAGACGTTTTAATGATTTATGAAGGAATAATAATGCAATGTTTCATTATTTCATCTTCATTTACAAGCAGGGTATTTACATTTACTGTATATTTCACATCCCTTCTTTTTGTGCCTGTTTGTGGCATTTTCTCGACCTGCTGTTAAACTTAAACACATTTTTGTCATCCCTTTGTCCCGCCGTGGCGTCACACGTGGTGGCAGTGGTCATTTTTAACTTTTACTCACTGTACATAATACTTAATACACATTCAACACCACCAACCAAATATTTGTTGTCATTAAGATTCATGTAAAAGCATTTTAAATGTTATAAAGGTTGTTTAAATGCTGCTCTTGAACTTAATCAACGAAAGAATATTTTATCATAATCCAAAAAAAAAAAAAATTGAAACATCAAATTTTTTTTAAACCAATCAGAGTCTCATCTCCCATTCCCTTTAAGAGTCAGCTGCATCACATTAACATATTTACATGATGGCCTTTGTAAGTGGAAAAAGAGAATGGAAAAAATTAACGCTTTACCAGCGAGAAAACAGTTTAACAGACCATTTGTACGAGGATAAAGAATGAGCCTCCTCCATTTGGCCTCTTTACTTTACTTTTACTTTTTACTTTACTGCATTACTTTTGTGGATAAACAAACTGTGTTGTTCACACTCCACTGATGGCATCCATTAGCCTACATATTTAATTTAGTTTGTAAAGTGCAAAGATTTGATACAAAACTATTTCTAAATTCAGTTCTAATTTCCAGCAAACAAATACATGAATAATTATGAAGTTTAGTAAAAAAAAAAAAAAAATTGTTGTCCCATATGATGTCCCATATGATGATGCATACATCTCTAAAACATGCCTGGTGGACAAATCTAAACTTGTTTTTTTTTAAAACAAATATAAATATGCATAAAATAAATAATACTAATAATAATATTAACATTGTAATAAAAATGCTAATTGTCTTGAATAAACTGAAAAAGCCTCCTGGTCATGTAGGTGTTTTATTTATATCATTCATTTATTAATTAAGTTTCTTTTCGGCTTAGTCCCTTTACTAACATGGGGTCGCCACAGCGCCTCAACTACCAACTTATCCAGCACATGTTTTACACAGCCGGTGCCTTTTCAGCCACAACTCATCACTGGGAAACATCCATACACACTCATTCCCACACATACACTACGGACAATTTTAGCCTACCCAATTCACCTATGCTACATGTTTTTGGACTTGAGGGGGTAACCGGAGCACTCGGAGGAAACCCGTAAGCACAGGGAGAACATGCAAACTCCACACAGAAATGCCAACTGACCCAGCCGAGGCTCAAACCAGCGACCTTCTTGCTGTGAGGTGAACTTGCTACCCACCGTGCCACTGTGCAGCCAACTATATTTATGTAGTAAATAATACTTTTTAAAACATTTTAATCCTTAATTTATTTCATATGTAAAGATATTTGTGTATTACTTTACATCTAGAGTGTATTAAGCGTTTGAACCTGCGTAGGCACATAACTAATGCGCTCTGAACTGGACTTTAGACCAGCTTTTACTATTTCAATAGCACAGTCTGTTTCAGTGTCTCAAAATAGTAACGTGCAAACAATGTGCCTTAACACAATTAGTGATGCGCTGGTCTGAAAATAGAAACAAATCGCGCCAAACACACCTTGCGCCTTGTTGCACTCGGTGTATGATAGGACCCTAAGACTTCATAAACGTCTAAATATTTTGTTATAATTTTTTGTGAAGGATTGCATTATAATTACGTCTATTTAAAGAGTAATTACATTGTAAATAGTTTAAAGTTGTAAATAGTTTAAACATTTTCAGACAATGCAATATTAGTATTTAAGAAATTAAGAAATCAAAAGTAAAGAAATCAATATTTGGTACAATAACCATGATGTTTAGTGAGCCTGGTTTCTCTCGAGGTTTATGTGTCAATTGATGTGGTCAATTGGTAAAGTTTTGTTCCTCGCCACTGTCACCACTGGCTTGCTTGGTTTGGGACTTGTAGACTGCACAATGATGGATTTGCTCTTCAGTGTTTGGACTTTCGGAAGTAAAAAAATAATCCACACTAAACTGAACTTAATTTAACTTTAATTTCAAAAACTGGACTGGAAGATTCATTTGCAACTTACTAGAACTTCTATGTTAAGCTACATTTTAAAAACACTATAGAATTAAAGATTAATTTAATTTAGTCACAGCAAATAAAAACAGTCTGACATCTGTCACTCTCTGAATAAAACAAAACGCTGTACAGGACAGTATTTTTATTCAAGAATTGGAATAAATGCTTTCAGACTTTATTAAACAGCATTTTAATCAAACTCGCACCTAATAAATCCAGTAACAGAATTTTCAAGTGTTTCTTTAAAGCACTTCTTTTATAAATAAATAAATGTTTAGGAATGTTACTGAACTCAAGGTTTTGAATACTTTTGTGAGTGGATATTGCTATAGTGTCTCTTTCACTTTTACACATTTTCACAGCAATAACTGTACAATATCAGTCAGCTAAAGGAAGCTACACAATGGAAAAAAATATGTAATAAAAATGATTGGCCTTGTTCTTTGAGGAGAGTACATTTTCTTGTCATGCAAGTGTCCATGAACCAAACTGGATTCCAGTAAAAGAAAAACCAGCGACGGCAGCTTTTCATTTACTGAGATATGTTACAAACCTACAGAAACGGTTATATTGACAAATTGCCTCTTCCAGCGCATTCACTCTGGTATACTCACCCCACCCGATCAATGTAAAACCCCACAGGTATTTGGAGTCCGACAAGAAGGCCATGAAGATGAGACTGTGCAGGTACAAGCCCTCCACCAGGATCCAATAGTAGTTTGTAGCCAGGAAATAGATGAACAGCAAAACGGTCACTTTACATCCCATCTGAAAAAAAAAAAGGTTTCAAATAAATAGAGCCAAATGTTCCAAGTCATTCAGTAAATATACTGGCTGGGAAGCATTATTTTAGCTGTGACACTTATTTCCTAGTCTCAGTTGGAGGCCAGCAATGCTGAAATGTTTTGAAAACGGTTCTCAGTTGAGCTTACTCGGTTCAGAATGACATAAAAGAGAAGAGCAAAACAAATACAAAGCAAAATCCAAAAAACTAAGCAGATCTCTAAAATGTCCTCTCATTTGTTTCTTTAAATATACTACATCAGCGAATGGCTCATAAATGAACAGTAAAGAGTCTTTAATACAAAAGGCTTAACCAAAACTAAGGTTTAAAACCGTATTTTCTGAAGAACAACTTGCAGAGCATTTCAAAAAAAGAAGAAAATGCAGCGTACATTCTGGAAAATACAATTATATTTAATTATTCTTAACCTGCATGAGGTTTTAGTCTAAAGGAAGATGAAAGAAGACAATATGAAGAATATTTTACTTTTTAAGAGGCAAATGAGAATTGGGTCCCACTGAATTTCCCTGTAATTATGTGCCACAGAAGGAATAAAGCATGAACTGCACCTCTCGTTTATATTCTACAGAAGCACTCACTGTCTTAAATCTACCTTTAGAATAATTAGCTCACTAACTTCATTTAAGATGACATGTTGTCAGTATCAAATGACAGAAAGACTCTTTAGGACAGCAGAACCGTGACAAAATGACAAGCTTTCACTGCAGTCTGCATGGTATAGGTGAAACGCTGCACTTTAATGAGCTATTAGCTCAATGCCATGACAGATCTGTGTGGGTAATGACCATAAACCAATTCCAGACCAATGAACTGAATTAAAAGAGACTTCACATCACAAACCAAAACATTATCAAACCATACTGGTGAAGGATATTTCTCTCTATTTTATCCTTCTATAGATATTTTTCCTCAGGGACAATTATATAGCTGTTACACTGAAAATATCCTGTAAAGTAATCAAAACATAAATGGGTTCAATGTAGTGACCAACAAATCAAAACTCCTTTTAACAATGGCTTTGCCTAGCTTTTCCCTTGGTATTCTCCCAGACAATATTTTATTTTTAGCTATTATTGAAGGGCAAATTCATGCAGGGTATTTGTTTTTCAATCAGTTGTAGGTGGATGATGTGTTAATAATGATACATTTTTTTTAAAAGGCCTTTTGAGGAAAATCAAAAGAATAAATCCTTGCGAGAGCGAATACCCCCCATGCGGTTGATATGCGCCGCCGTGCTGTCCGTCCTGACCAGCACGTGCTGCTGCTCCAGCACTGGAAGAAAAAAAAAAAAAACGGTGGAATGCAAGGAACCTTCAATATTCTCTATTAAATAAATATCATATATTTGACTAGACAACACCCTCTGAACGTTTTTATTTCGCTTAAAGGTGCAGTAGGTGATCTGCCAGAACGCCATGCCTCATTAAGTCATGAATGTGCACCGAATAGATGACGATAAACAACCTTATATACTGTACACTATATCATGTCTTTCACCAGTTAGAAAACTCTATGAAGAAACACACTTCGTCCAGTAGTTGTTGACAGGCCAGTGGGTGCAGGAATTATATTTCCCCAAAACAGGCATTGGGGTAAAGTTGGTTTTATATTCCTATGTTTAGACTTTTTCCTTAATAATATAATACCTACACGCTATTTCAGACTGAATATTCAAAGGAACGTTAGAGTGAGAGTGTGTCACAATTAGTCACTGTTCAAAACTGAACAAACATAAATCAAACTTAAAAACACAGTAAAGCTGGTTAGGAAGAAGAGCGCTACTTACTTATGCTTTGTCATTCAACTAAATAAAAATCAGATCAGAAAAAAGGGAGTGCTAAAAACAGAAATACTCTGACATCGTTTTACATTACACTTACATTACACCAAGGCAAGGAGTGACTTTTCATTTTCAATTGTGTTTGCTGAACCTTGTATATAGATTGTTTTTTCACTTGAACTTAAACATTCCCTTTTACACTTGAACAACTAAATGAATGCTTAGGTGTAATTAACTGACTATGTTATCAGTGCTGTAAAAGATACCCCTTGAACTTGAAAATAGTCAATCTTTTGATGGACATTTTCAGTGCCTAAAAAGCTCCGCCCATATAAACCCATTCATAAACAAGAACACAATCAATATAAGCTTTGCATTACTAAAATAGTTTTAAAACATACCAGTCTAAAAGAAATACTTCAGCCATGGTGTCATTCTTTGGATCAGGGGTAGGGAACCTATGGTTCGGGAGCCACATGTGGCTCTTTGACCAAAAATATGTGGCTCTCAAGCTGTCTCTCTTCAATAATTTTCCAATTTTTAAAAATATAACTGTTACTAGAAATCAGTTTCCAATTGAAAATACAAATACAATTTCCTTTATATTGTGTTTTCAAAAGAAAAATGGAAGTTTCAACCAATGCGCATAATATGATGCTGTGGTTTAACTTGAATTGCGACAACAATAAAGGACAAGTTATATTTCTCACATTCCTATGGTAACCACATTCATTCATCCATTTATTCATTTTCTTTTCGACTTAGTCCCTTTATTAATCCAAGGTTGCCACAGCAGAATGAACAACGAACTTATCCTGCACATGTTTTAAGCAGCAAATGCCCTTCCAGCTGCGACCCATCTCTGGGAAATATGGTAATCTCACCCACGTAAATTCAAACATTCAGTGGCAATGGCAAAAAAAAAAAAATTTGTAAAACGGTCCTTTCGTCATACATTGTAATGTGTCATTTTTGTTTTTTGAGTTGTGCATGGACATAAATAAAGGTTTTGTGTATAAAAAAAGTTTTTGTTATACACACACCCCATATGGCTCTTTAAAAAATGCATTTGATAAAAAAAATCTGAAATGGCTCTTTGCTAAAAAAAAAAAAAAAAAAGATTCCTGACCCCTGCTTTAGATCAAGGTTTTGAACTGCATAACGCCATTGCCCTCCAGTGTGCAAAAGTAACTCTGATATAGATTCAGGATTTAGAAAAGTTTTGATTCTAAATTTTTGGCAGGAGCCCTTCGAAAAACAATCTTTCTTTTTATGGATACAAGGCCACGTTGGTCTTTTAGAAAGCTTGCAGATACAGAGTTTGCCTAATGTGTATCTCTCGGTCAGCTGTTGGCCATTAGACAAACATTTTTTAGTCTTAAGCTTTACCCAGAATATAAAAATACAAGAAAATACAGTGAGATCCTTTGCTTTAATCATTACAATCAAAATGTGAAGAGACTTTTAGCTAGCACAACAAAAATCACCTACTGCACATTTAAAGGTGTAATTCTACCACAGGAATTGAAGTGCTGAGACAGAGAGTAAACTCTAATGTAGAGATTAATAAATAAAATGTTACAGCAATAATAAAAAAAAAGCAAAAGTGAAAAAGTGGTATATTGATTAATGTATATTATTATTAATAAATAATAATAAAGTTGAATCTGTGTTTAAGAAAAGTCAATTTAAGGCAAGTCATTTCACTCGTCAACCATCTTTGAAACACCTCTCAGGCAGTATGGTTTGGAGTTCTGTCTGAATGGGGAAACATCAAATTATCCAAAACTGCTTGCCAAGCTTACGATTGAATTTCATATTAGAAATCCCTGCTGAAAAATCCAGCTTAAACCAGCCTAGGCTGGTTGGCTGGTTTTAGCTGGTTGACCAGGCTGGTTTTAGAGGGGTTTTGGCCATTTCCAGGCTGGTTTCCAGCCATTTCCAGCCTGGTCTTTGCTGGTTACCCTTTTCCCCATTCAAAAATATACAAGTGACATGTCATGTGTATTCTATAGTCTTTGGTTTCAGTGCCTACATTAAATAATGATCTTAACTTCATCACTTTTTAGAGTAAAAGTGAAATGACATGCATGTCTTTGCTCTTTCTGTGTACCAAGTTCTTTGTTTCACAGGGTCTTCAGGCTGGGTCAAGGACTGTGGACTGTTAATGAGTGACCATGACAGCAGCAACACTGATTTCATAGCTTGTTAGACGTTTAAAGTTAATTCAGTTTATAAAAAAGCTGTTTCCTTTTTTAGAAATTACCAAACAAGAATATTATAACTGTCTGAAAATACATGCAATGTGAATCTTGGTGCACAGCAGGTGGGGAGGACGACCAAGATCAAACCAAAGGTGATATTGGTCTGAGATGACGCCAGAAGAACAAAACATGCTGGTGAAGCCAGCGGGAGCCAACTGATCCCCAGACTGGGCTCTGAGGCCTGAGGTGGAGCCAGGGGGAGGCAGAAATCTGGATATGGTTAAAATCTTGAAGATGGGCAGAATAGCCAGCAATGAAGAAGACTTGGATTTGGACAAGATTAATGGAGCAGGATTACTACCAGATTAGTCTCAATTTGGGTTGGAATGTTGAAGGAGGAAAAGTTTTGAAAGTTGTAAAGTGGCTCATTCTCATTTCCCTGTGACAGACTGATACAAACAACAGCCAGATAAGTAGAATTGGGCTAGAGCAGCTGTAGCTAAAAGGCACTGTTGTCTGTTCCTACTGCTTTGTTTTCAGTAGAAGTTACGAAAGACATTTAAAGAATGAGTGATTAAATCCCAAATGTTTTCTTAATGAAAAAAACTAAGTAGCTTATGGCTTCTAGCTTCTAGCCGCAGAGAAGAGTTTGTGTGTCTCACTGACTTACACATACACTAACAGTAATAGAAGTGGAGAGGGGGAAGAAGCCAAAGTACAGGGAGCTGCTTGGGAAATGTAACCTGTGACGCAGTTCAATCTTCACCTGCATTAGGTCAGGAATTGGAGCAGGACTCTTCGACAGCTCAGACAGCAGGTGATCAGTCAAGTTAAAGCTTTGGCCCAGGTGGTTTGCCTGGTGTCTTATCTCCTTGGAACTAAAACCTCGAAAACTTCTCCAACAGGCCTAGATCTTTCAAAAAGTCCCTTTTTGTATATATATATATATACACACACACACACGCACACACGCACACAC